CTACATATGGTGCCATTTTATAGCCAAATTTTGGCACACATACCAATACACATATTAATATAATAATAATAGGATAATGTGGTTAATTCCACATATTACATATTTACAATATAGATCACCTCGTCCCCTTACAAAAATTTGTGTTATACAAATGCCACTTATTGGGCCCACCAAGTCCATCACCAATTGAACTTTAGAACCACAGAATGAAATTTGCCCTGATTGGATCTTATGAGTGATTAGTCAAACAAAGCATGTGGCTGAGAGGAGAGATATCAGATAAAAACATTGGCAAATTAGTCAATTATGAACGTGTCGTAATTTGGTGGTTTGAGAGAAGCAAACTCCAAAAACGATTTCAATCTAATTACAAGTAGCCCCTCCAATCTACATAAGTTGCAAATAGATCCACTTGAAACTCAAAATTGCACTTTGGTTGTACACAAACAAAGCAACATAATACAAAAACGGACCATGTATTAACAGGAAAGGTTGTTTATTAAGTAATTATTTCTATAATCATGGCTGGACTTTAAGGCCCCTCCAAAGCTTGACTATTTTCGGCCCAACTCACTCATAGAGAGGCCATAAAACTCAGCCCAATATGCACGTCCACTCATTCTTTGAGCCCAATCAGCCCAACCTACACCAAAACCCCTCTTCACCTTCTTCAGCTCCGCCATAATTTCCCTCGGATTTCACAATTTGGCGGGAAACGTTCATCTCTCATATTTCACAAGCTTTGTCTAATAAGGGATATTTGCACCTGGTGTGTGGTTTTAGAGATAGCGAGAGAGAGAACAATGGAAGAGGTAGTGGAGGAGGAGTTTTCAGTGTGGAAGAAAAACACGCCGTTGCTGTACGACCTCGTCGTCTGCCACTCCCTCGAGTGGCCGTCCCTCACCGTCCAGTGGCTGCCCTCCCCTCCGTCTTCCGACGGCGGCGATCTATCTGTCCACAAATTGATCCTCGGGACACACACGTCCGATGATGTCCCCAACTTTCTCATGCTTGCGGACGCGTATCTCCCACGAGATCCTTCCTCCGCCATTGCAGTCGACCTCGAAAACTCCATTGTACCAAAGGTCTGTATTTAAATAACGTTTTGTACATTGGATTTTGTTTGGATGCTGTTTGTGTATAATGTATTGTGTGTTGAGCACCAACTGTTTGAGTAAAGTACTGAATGAATGTTTGTGATAGGGTTTTTAATTTTTCATCTTTATACTGGTTCTATTTTTAAGCAGATAAGCATGAAAGTTTGATACGTGGGCTAAGTATAGATTATTTGAACATCTTTTCTCATGATAAGTGAAATGTGAATATATGGCATGCTTTTAACTTTGAGTCATATAGGTATTTCGTTTTGCCAGCGGTCACTAGTAGTTACAATGTTGTCCTGATATAGACATGAGCTAAATTCTGTGTGGTATATATATCACGATAACAACGTTCACAGAGCTGAAAGCCACAAGATTTTTAGCGAATCTCCTGTTAGTTTTATCCATGATGTTATTGGTCGATAACTTGATGATTTTTATGCACTGAGTCACTGTGGCTTATGTTTTCATGGCTTCATTTACTTGCCGGGCATCTGGAGATGTCATCTAAATGCAGTCTTAGTTTTCTTGAAATGTCGTTTTTATGGACCGCTCATGTTTTCCTCAAGGGTGCTGTATATGTTATCTGAACCCTTTAGCTGAACGGGTTAGAGATTCTAATATCATCCCAGGTTCTTCTGCCCATTCTATAAGAGCAGGTTTTTCTGAAAACACAACAATGGTTTTAAGCTGCTGGCTGAAATGTTCATTGCTTATGTACAGGTAGAGATAGTACAAAAAATGCAAGTTGATGGGGAAGTGAACAGAGCTCGTTGTATGCCCCAAAACCAAACTATAATTGCTGCCAAGACGAATGGTTCTGAAGTATACGTATTTGACTCGACCAAGCAGCTGGTGGATTCCAAACGTGGTTCGAATGACCCAGATTTGAGATTGAGAGGCCATGATAAAGAAGGGTATGGTTTGTCCTGGAGCACATTTAAGGAAGGATATCTTTTGAGTGGTTCAAATGATTGCAAAATTTGTTTGTGGGATGTTTCTGCAATGCCTCAACAGAAAGTGCTTGATGCAAACTATACTTATGAGGTAATAAATACACAATCAACCTCTCTGTAATCTCAAAGCTGTTTCTGTTGATAGTGAGAGATTTTTGTGTTTATATACTTGCATGTGACCACAAAAACTGTGCTTTGTTGCTCTAGGGACATGAAAGCGTAGTTGAGGATGTGGCATGGCATTTGAAGAATGAAAACTTGTTTGGCTCTGTTGGAGATGATTGTAATCTAATGATTTGGGACTTGCGCACGAACAAGTTCCAACACTCTGTTGTTGTACATGAAAAAGAGGTTTGTCAACTTGTCTGCTGTTTTTATTTCTCCAATCTTTTGTATTCGTGCTCATGTTGTCATCTGCTTACACTTAATAACATGTCTTGTTTCTGTTAAATGTCAGGTGAACTATTTATCTTTCAATCCATTTAACGAGAATGTTTTGGCTACAGCATCATCTGATTCTACAGTTGGTCTGTTTGATTTGAGGAACTTGAGTTCTCCACTGCACGCCCTTAGCAGCCATATGTAAGTTAATTTTGGTTCAATCTAAGTGACCACATAAAAGATAATAGTTTATGTCTTTGGATAAATAACTGACAAAACACGTCGAATTTGTTACTTAGTAATACAATTTTGAAGAAATGTGAGGATGTCCCTGAAAAGAACAGGTCCTTGATAGTAGCAATTAGCAAACCCCTTTTAGTCCATGCTGATGATAATTCATACATGAGAATAGTATTCTTCTTACATAGACGATCTCTTTCAAACATAAATACTAGCAAGAATGTATTGTATACAATACAATCATACTGATTCAGTTCTAAGAACTTCTGGCTAGGTGCTTGCAATATCTTCTAATTAGTGATATTAATCTCCTCTACTATAACCAGTCAGTTACTAAGCATATCGTTCGTTAACTATATTGATTTTCGTCTACATACACAGGGAAGAAGTATTCCAGGTGGAATGGGATCCAAACCACGAAACTGTTTTGGCATCTTCTGCTGATGACAGAAGGTTGATGGTGTGGGACCTTAACAGGTAATATTATCTTCTTACTTGTTTTGTTTTTATCCTCTACACAAAATTATTGTCTATTTTTCAGCTTATTCCTTTATTTTTATCTCTTTATTTTTTCCATCTCTTTTAAAAGGGTTGGAGACGAGCAGTTAGAAGGGGAAGCAGAAGATGGTCCACCCGAGCTGCTATTTTCTCATGGGGGCCACAAAGCTAAGATTTCAGACTTCTCGTGGAACAAAAACGAGCCATGGGTTATCTCGAGTGTGGCGGAGGATAACACGTTGCAGATTTGGCAGATGGCTGAGAGCATCTATCGAGATGAGGATGAACTGACAGCCTAAAAAGATGTAGGATTTTAACTTTGTTGTCTCTTTGGGTGTTTTTGAATGTTTTAATTGTTTGGTGATATTGAATTGTGCAAAATTTGTTTGAAGTATTCATCACTGTGGCGTTCAAGGATGATGCCAGTTCACTTATTAATCACTTAAAGCAGGAGAGTTGCATGATGATGTTATATACTTATGAATGGACATTGGTGAAGTGGTCATGATGATGCCATTTGCTCATATGCTTGGGTAGCCTATCAAAGCAGTTTTAGCCAGAAATATATGAGATACTAACTGTAGACTACAAAGATCCTTTTAACGAATTACTCTGTTTTGAGCTCCCAAATCAGAGTTTCAATACTCCATGGCAAAAAATGAGCAGCTTAATCATGTAAAAACTAAAACCTGAAACAAGAGCAAACAAGATAAAAGGATTTACAGCCTGAAAGCCATATCAGCTGCCAATTAACACATTCAAAACATGTCGTCGTCATTTGTAGTCAACAAGGAGCAAAAGCCAAGATAAAAGACCACCAATAATATTACATTCAAACCGCGACAACAAGATAAAAGACCACCAATAATATTACATTCAAACCGCGACAAATAAAATAATAAGTTTTTGGGTCTCATGTGGTAAGAGAAACATAGTAAAGCTTCTGCAAGACCGGAATCTCGGGTCAACTCCTTCCTCAAGTTTTGACAGCTGATGTATTCGGGCATCTCTTTCATAAGGCATGCGATCAATAAAAAACTACTATACACAAATGCTATTCAAAGGGCTATTCTTGAAGATGGACAAACCACTAAACATGGTCTTCAGCTAACAATTGCTGCACGTGCACCTGTTGATGAAACATATAAAAAAGTAAGGATAAAAACTAGTTGAAAATCTTCAGAACATGTCTCTACATATAATAAAACTATGTATAAATAACTAACATGCATTGGATATTTGTGTATATATCGGAATACATGTGTACAACCATAGGAGAAAACATTATATCACACGATGAACACATATAAACAAATATCATGTCACAAGTGCTAGCGAAACAAATTACACCAAAATATAAACCCTTCATCCAGAAAAGATTGACCTAATCCTCCCAACTAAGAAATCAATCCAACTAACAGATAAAAGAAAACACAAGATACCTAAAAGAAAAACTAAAGTGCACCAAAAATGAGTACTTATACAAGACATGTCAATAAACACAATTTATGAAAACGAGACTCATTTCCTTAAAGCAACAAAGACAAAGCAACCACAAACACATTCTAGATTAACATATCCATCAGACGATAAGCTAAAACGCAAGATCATAAAAGAATAATAATAAGTTAATAACAACAAAATTTCACCTTTTCTTTTCCTATTTCCACTAGCATTGCCATTACCAACGACATGATCTCCAATATCAGAATCAGCAAAAAGATCCTTCTGCTCAATATTCCGATTCCCGAAACACTGACCGTTAACCGTACCTTCTGTTTGCAAACAGTACAGCTGCTCACTACTTTGCATATCGCAAGGACTCATCATATAAGTACCGGCAGCAACATTTGGATTAGCCATATTCTGATAAATATCACCAGATTTATTTAACTTCTTGTAAGGAAAAGACCCGATTTCCCCTTCAATCCTACCTCTAATATCCACAAGCAAGCACTTAAGCCTAGCAATCTCAGCCTCCAGCAATGCCTGGCCTTGCAATCTCTTCATTAGCTGCTGATTAATGGCCCTCAACCTCATGACTTCATCTTCTAAAGAGGCGGCCCGAGCTTTTTTCTTCTCTCTGTATTTTCTTACAGCCTCACGGTTGCCCAAAGGCTGTTTCTTGCCATTTTTCTCGATGGACTCGGCCGTGTCATCACTGGGTGAAGGCATTATCTGGGTGTGGACATGAATGCACGTGTGGGTATGTGCCTTGTCGGGCCCAGATGGGTTGCAAGCATGGGCATGGGTGCAGGCTTGGGTCTGGCCCAGAATGTCGGTGTAGGCCTCAGTACGGCCCAAGGCATTGTTGCAGGATTGCGTTCGGCCCAAGAACTCGTCTATGTCGAATGAGCAGCTGCTCTGGGCATTGGTCAAATCTAGACAGGACAGCATTTCTCTGCTTGGGAAATCGAGTTCTCCGTCGTCCATTTTTTCGTTAGGAGAAAAACTTAATCTTGAGGAGGATCTGCAGGAATAGAAGAAATCTAAAGATAAGACTAAAATCAATAAATTAGCAGTAATCTGGCAGTGATGACATACAAAATGATTTCACTAATAAGTGGTTAATTAATAATGAAACCCTATAGACCAGAGGAAACATATGTGAAACAAATCCAGAGCAAGGGGCATGAATTTTAATTATACTCGAAACAATGAACTTCAATCTGAATTCTGAACTACAATTCGATTATTAAATCAATCACAAAAAAAAAAAAAAAGAGAAAAAGCTCCGATTATTATAGCGTTGAGCCCCAGAACTGATACAAATTAGTGCCATACACATAAAAATTAGGTGTAAAAAGGAAAAAGAAACTCACATTAGTGTGATACATTGTTATTACCAAAACTGAATCTTGCGCTAGCGAGCGATCGTCACAATGCGGAAAGTGGGGGTGGCAATGAATATGGATGATTTACGAGGGAAGGAAACCCTAGAAAATGCTGAAAATGGTTACAGACAAGATTCAATGGCGGATAATTTAATGGCGGCCACTAAAAAGTAAAACCAGATTACCAAAAAATCTGTATATATCTGTTATATCTACATACATACTAGTATTAATGCACATGTACAACATGAGTGTCGAGTTAATAAATATATGTGAAAGTTATTTATATTCAATACCAAACATAACTCTAGAGTAAAATTAATATAAAAACAACATCACGAAATATAAATATTCGCCAAGTCAGCATTTGAAGCATGAGAATCTGCACCTAAGCTCAACACGTTTTGAATTAATATATATATATGTGTGTGTATTATTGTAATTTTATCATGTTTTAATGTCAAAATATTGCAAAAATTAATAAATAAGAATAAAATAATTGTTATGATTTTAGACAAATGAAATACAACAAGTAAGGCTTTGATTGTTTATGAAATAATTAACTTATTTTTATTTCAACTCAAAATTTAACTCAACCTCACTATCTTTAATATTATTTATACAATTAAATAATAAAATCCAATAATTCTTACACATCACATCAATTTTAATTCACTCACATAATTTTAACTACCTATTATTTTCAATCATTTATCTCTTACTTTTACATCAAATCAATTTTAATTATTTTATTTTAAATATTATTTTAATACATTCTTAAAATTCCACTAATAATTCATCATATTACCTTTTTCAAATTAACTATAATTAACTAAAATAACTCATTTTCAACGAATTATTTCATAAATAATCAAGCCCTAAATATTGTGCTTCAATAAACATTCGTGCACTCCAAGAAACTAAAAGAGAGTGGCCATAATTTGTTATCCAAATCATATCTTGAAAATAATTTTTTGTAAATTTTATCTTGATAATTTTTTTTATATGATTGAATATAAATCACATATAATCCAACTTATTTTTTCTCAATATTGTTCAAGCGAATTGAAACGTATAATATCACGGAGCGCGCTATTTGTAGTACGAACTAAATAAAGAACTTATGAATGTGGAAGCAAAAAACCGAAGATTTAAAAAACTCTTCAGGGAAGTATCTCACTTCCCCTCAGAGCTCTTTCATTGATAGATCAATTATGAACATAGCTTGGACTTACAAAGACTCGAACTCCCTTCAAGTCTAGCCAACAGTACTCAGATCCTATCAACCATTTCTCCGTCCACGTCCCGTGCACTTTTTTATCCTACACTTACTCCCTAAGTGTGAAAGTAAAAGATAGTTTGATGAAACAAAGAAATCCAAAACAAAACAGCTTCAGTCCTTGAGTTTGTAAGAACTCTCGTACTGAACTGTGTACAACTGAATAGAAAGATAAAAATGCGAAGCTCAAATATTGCTCTAAAAATATCTCCAAACTCAGCAGCAGCAATAAGAGCTTGCATTAGGGTATTTATATGAACTCCTTAGGGTTGGAGTCTTCTACAAGGCATAGGACTTTTAGTTTGATTTTCTTCCATTGGAATGACATATCTTTGGCAAGTAAATCTCCTCTTTTCTCTCTCTATGATCTCCTCTACAAGCACGCCTCTCCTCCCTTTAATTCTTTTAAATCCGATTTCTTACAAAATACAATACCATAATAAGACCCATAATATCTTATATATGAAATATAAAATAAACTTAATTAAGGAAATAAAATATGTAAAGATCTTCCCTTTATTTCTGTAGTTCTAGGTGCTTGTTCGAACCGACGAACTAATGCCAAAATAAAATATCTTTCACGAATACTCATCCTCAAAATTAAAATAATACTCTCAAAATGTTTTTTTTAATATTATTTTCTACAAAAATGTTACCGACTTATTTAACTATTTTACGAATTATACCAAATTACTGTTTTATATTAGATTGAGGCCCCGTTTGATTTTCAGCTTTTTAGCCAAAAAGCTGTTTTAGCGGTTTTGACCAGATTGGAAAAAGCTAAAATTGGCTTTCTTGATGTTTGGTAAGCCAACTTTTGAAACTAGCGGATGGGCTGAAAACGCCAAATTTTGAAACGCTCATATTAGTAGCGTTTTGCTTTTAGCTTTTGCTTAACTATTGCCACTTTGTAAATTAATTATTAGCAGGCACCTCTATAA